GCTAATTTCAAAATCAAAAGTCAGCTAAATCGATTCAAGTTTTCACATGCGATTACCAAAAAGAAGAAGAAGAAGACAATCGAAATATTTTATCTTCCTCAGCTAATTAATTAGAGCTTTAGGATCGGTTTGTTTCCTTTCAGTTGCTTATGCCAGGGTTAGTCAGTGAATATATCTATGTATATATGTATATTCCAGTTTTAGACAATTTATGGATTTTACTTTACTTTGTTTTGTCATATATATGGCGAAGTGTAAGACAAATATAATTAAATTAAATCTAATTACTCGAACTGTGGGCGTTATTCGAATTGTGGGCGAGTCGGTGTTAAATGTTTCGGCTTAAGCCGAGGAATAATTTCATTCTTGCTTAGCTTAAATGTTTTTGTTTATTGATTTAAGCATTTCTTTTGGCCTCTGGGCATTAGTTTTAGTTCTTAAATGAAGTGAAAAACATTTTTTTTTTTTTTTTTTTTTTGTGGGACAAATGTTAAACGTCTTCGTAATATTCGTTGCGCAACTGTCTTTGGATTAGATTCAGGTGAAAGGAGTGCAAAAACATTTTGCTGTGTCTTACAATCGCTGAATATTTGGCATGCTCCCGTCTAAGCGTTGTTGCTTATATACTTTCGAATCTGTTGACGAACGATCGGTCATTAACATTCCATGCAGTGGGAAAATGGGAAACAATTCGAGTTTTTATCCCAAGTGCCAGGAGTTTTTCTTTTCTTTTTTTTTTTTCATCATCAGTAACGCAATAAAGTCGCAGATGTTTCTCCAATACGAGGAGAGAAGGAGAAAATATTCAATATGGAATCCTTTGCATCATTTGTCAGGCATATATGCATAGATGATTTGGGGCTAAACAACTTTGATACCTGGTTACTTAAACGAATGAAATACAAATTCGACGCTACTGTATAAAGAAAATATGCAGAGAATGAAAACTATGTGAGGAAGTGTCGGCGACGTTAAAAAAAAAAAAGAAGAAAACAACCAATTAACAGTAAACATATATACAGAGAAATTGAAAAATATACCAAAGAGAACGCTGTAGACATGGTGCTAACAGTAAAAAAAAAAAAAAAAAAAAAATATCGTCGTAAAAACAATATATTGTATTGTGATGCAAAGTTTAACGACAAGCTTTTCCTATTCAAAACGTACAACGCGAATAGCGTAACGAAGAGCGCACAAGAGTCCACAAGTAAATCCAAACAGAGCGGAAGGAAAACTTATCGGACAAAAAAAAAAAAAACACAACAGAACAGAAGACACCACATAATGCGATGTATTGCGCATAGTTAGTTAGTAGTTGTGTGACGACACACAAAGGGAAAAAATCATGAATGCAAAGTTTTTGGTTGAAAACTTTTCATTTGTCAGTGGAGTAACGGCCACAGATGAAAACGGACGTATTTGAATGAGTCTAGTGTGTGCGCGTCGAGGGCGCCCAATTTATTTGTATTTTTGTTGGTATCACCTTGAAACTGGGTGAAAATCTATACTAAGTGGCATCAAGTGAACTGAAAATTGAAAATATCTGAACGCAAAAAAAAAAGCAAAGGAAAAAACAAAAAAAAAACAAAAATAAAAATAAAAAAACAAAAGAAAAACTAACAAAAATATTTTCTATTGAATAAGTTTATACACATGTAAACTATTTAATTAAAATTATGAATAAAAAAAATTTATCAATAAAACAACAATTTCAAGAATAAAAGGAAAAAAAAATTTTAATTAAAATATCTATCTATCAGCACTAAGTGAACGAAATTTATTGCAGCAAAAAGAAAAACAAAAGAGAAGAAAATGAAAGAAACAAAAAAGTTGCAAACAAACTTTTTTGCAAAATGATTTGAATGAGAATAAGAAAAAAAGAAGTAAAAGAAAAAACAAAGTTTTCTATTTTCTGCTGTGCCGCTGAAGATCGTGTGTAAAACAAGTGTTTGAAAATGTGAGAAAATTGATTTTTTTTTTTTTTTTTTTTTTTTGCTTTTTCAATTTTATTCTTCTGCTAATTTTCATTTCGAATTATGAATTCGTTTACATGGAGTGAAAACCAATCAATAATAGGCCAGAAAATGTTATAAATATCTACATACAATTATCTAGGTTTGTATGTATGTGTGTCTATTCGTTATACATTCTGACAAAGTGTTGTATGGTTGAGCTTTACACTCCAGCTTAAGAAGAAATGCCATAAGAGCTAAACAGAACAAAAATAATATTACACGCATGCACACATATAAACACATACTCTTCTCGTATATATATAGATATATATATATATATATATATGATATATTTATTTATTTATTTATATATATATATATATATAAAACAAAAAAATATTTATATATATGAAAGGAAAAGATGTGTGTGTGTGTGTGTGTGTGTGTGTGTGTGTGTGTGTGTGTGTGTGTGTGTGTGTGTGTGTGTGTGTGTGTGTGTATTCAGTTAGGATAGACGTGGAAAAAAAACCACCCTCAACTCGCTTCAGTTTAATTCAGTTTAATTTCAAGGCATCCTATAGTAGTATACGAACCAAATAGAGTTGAATTATAAGGGCAAACGAATAACTTCGTCAATTGTTAAACCTTTTATGCTGCACGCATGCATGTCTGCGCCTATATGCTTTCATACACACATACATACAAAATAAACAAAAACCTCTTCCATTATATTCCTTAAAACGAAAACAAAAGCAAATTAAAAAAAAAAAAGAAAAAAAGGAAAAAACTAAAAAAAAAAAAAAAAAAACGCAAAACAATACATATAAGACAAGATTCTCTCCGAGTTCAGTGTCAACAAATTCAACGATTAGAAAAACCAGGGAATTATATTATCAACCGTTTATAGTCCAACGAGAAGCAATTCAAATATGTACGTAAAGGCGATTGTGTGTGTATGTGTGTGAAAAATTCTTATTGTTTTTGTTTATTGCGCGACAATTTAACGCATGTTATATGCTTTTGTTGTAAATGTACGTAAGATATCTTTGTATGTATGAAGTATGTGGAAGACATGCGTTAGTGGTCTTGGTGGTACTTAGTCTACATTTTTTATCTTCAATTTCTTCTGACCATTGATGTATAATCGTAATATAATGGCAATCATTTAAAGGATTTCATTTCGCTTAAAGGACCAAAAAAAAAAAAAAACGAAAAACCGAAAAAATACAAGAAAGAAAAATTTGAAATAATTAGGCAGCAGGTCCTTAGCAAGCCGTAATAGCAGCAGTAATCCAAACTAAATCAGGTCATATTGAAAAGAAACTCCGTTTATTTATTAAAGATATTCGAACACATTTCTCTTCCTTACATACATTTGTACTTTATGAACTCTCTGATGCGTATATCACAGATTTTATTATTTGAACGTATAAAAGTTCATAATGAGACATGCCGTACACGTGTAAATCATACATTTTGTTTTTGTTTTTGCTATTGTTTTTCCAGTTGAAAATAATTTCCACATTAAATTCTCGGAAATTTTAAACCCTTTCCTATTATTAATGACATCACAGCGATACGATACGATACGATAGAATTGTAAATGAAAATTATTTAATCAGTTAAAAGCTTTTTATTTCATTTTCATTTTCTTTGCATACACGCGCACGCACACAGCTTTTGCATTTTTAAGCATTCAATCATTAAATAAATTACTTTTATTCAAATTCATAATTAAATAACTAAAGAGACATAATAAAGTAGAAGGCAAGACAAGCATTTCCCCATAGGGCGTGCATTAAATTAGATAGTCACCTACTAAGTCTTCACTATCACTATTTGTCCACTCGACATGATATAGTCAAGTAAACTAAATTATATGGATCATATCACGCCGTAGCAAGGGCAAATAATAGATGCAAATATAAAAAAAAAATATATTCATTTTAATTAAAAGCAAACAAATAAATAAATAAATAAATAAAAAAAGATAGCTTTTGCTTTACAGAGACTCCGTTCGTAACAGTGTCTGCGTAAAATTTTATTTTCAGCCATTTTTCGAATCGCAAAGTAAGTTTAGCTGTCTGCGTGAATTTCACTCAGTTTAGCATCAAATTGTATCCAGGATATTGGAAATGGTTTATACCGGATTTCTCCCCTCATTATTTTCTAAGCTTAACGGATGCAACAGTGCAAACAGCCGGAGGATAAGCAATAACTGAATCGACTTAATCTGATTCCGCAAAACAATTCCATTATAATTGCAATATAAATATAGCCTAAGACTTAGTTTGGCAGACTTTAAATAATTCCTTCACAAGATCGATCCATTCAACAGTGAGAAAGTCTTTAAATTCGTTATTGAAAGTAAATCATCTAACGAAAATATGAAATCAGTGGTCGTAGGTTCAAATAATAATAATAATAATAATAATGAAATTTGTTAATTGAAATTTTTGATTGCTTTTAATCCTTTCTATCTATTATCATTTTCACGTGCTTCATTATCATTCATCCAGTTAAGGTGGTTGCTGGCACTTAATCAATTCAAACAATCAGGCCACAGTATCTTATATGCTGCTTAACGAATCACGTCCATTACTTAATGTAGTTTCAAGGAATCGTCATGACTGGTTACAGCAAAGCAATAACATCTACTACGAACTATACGACCAATTTTGTCCAGAGCGACGGCGAATTTTTTAACTCCACCTTTGACTGTCAACTAAGAATTTGGCCGAATCTATAGATTGAACAAGAATAAAAACACTTAGTGAAGAGAAGAAGAGGCAAAGCCTGAAAAAGCCACGCACCCGCGTACATAGCCTAAAGTATTTCATAATTCGGAATCGTCCTACGTACTTCACCTTTATTTGGAAGACTCAAAGGAAAAAATTGTATTTCGTTTGCCATTAAAAGTATTCGCGGTATCGCTCTCTAAGTTGCACCAAAAAGAGTATCGAAAATTATTTATTTATGAACTAATGTGCGTATGTATGTATGTTGTGTGTACTTATGTTGGATGTGGAATATGTCTACATGTGTTTTCTATTTTTTTTGCGGTCGATGGAAAGCTCACTAGCCATCGTACGAGACTCTAATCCGCGAAAACCGCCTATGTGTACCCTTGTTTCCGTAGCATTCCTTTACGGGCCGCATGCATAGATGCGTACATTTATTTGTATACGTGCAAGTTTCTGATTTTGTTGTTTTCTTTTTTTTGACGAACGTAACGATAGCAAGTGACGGGAATCCTTGTCGATTTTCGCTTCACATCGAGTGAGGCTTTCGTCGATCATCAATCCTCATCGTATATTTTTACGTTTCTTATCCTCGATTAAGATTCGGTTTTCCTCTTCGTTTGGATTTGTCGTGAAATGTTTTTTTTTTTTCAAAAGTAGAGTTTGTGAAGGACGGATATACTCTGCATTGCGTGTCCTCACTTCTGTTTACCAGTCTGAGTTATAAAATTGATCACGGATCGATGTGGATTATTTCTCGATTTTATCCAAAGATGCGAGGGCGATAATCGGCGCTATTTGTATTTGTATTTGCCCAGAAGTCACTAAAGCTCTCTGCACGTAGGTGAAATAGGCGTTAGCTCGCGAGATGTTAACAAATCTGGATTATTAGAAAAGTTTTTTTTTTTTCTTTTTCTTGTACTGCTATTGGCAGAAAGGAGGCGAGAATGATAAACTATTTTGCAAATGTTTGGAAAATTGACAGTCATAATGCAGTTAATGCATTTGAAAACTGAAATTCACTTACAACATTGTTCCCTCATTAATCAGTCCACTCAATTTTAAACACTATATGGAAGCTTTGTCACTTCTCTCTTGACATCATGCTGACGACATTCCTGGCTATGTGTATAGATTGCTCTATTTTATGACTGCATGACGGACAATATCGTTTTCTCTGAGAAGTCAATTATCCTCTTTCCCATGACAATATCTTGCCGAGCACACCGCTTCTAAACCGATGTGATGGTTGCTTTAAGTAACAAACACGTCAATATTTCTATAATTTCTAGTTTGCTCAGTCAAAAGCTTTTCGAACATTTGTTTTATGGCTATACTCACTAGTTTTTTCCTTAATAATCTTGACTTCTTTAGCATATTTTTATCGTTTAAGTTACTTCCACATCTGTTCCTGGCAAACTATTGTGTCTCAACGTATTCGCTGTAGCACGTTTCATAGCCCAATGGCTTGGCCACCTTGTCATTGGAAATGCACTAATAATCCTCTGGCTTTATATGCATATATCTTATATGTACAAATACATATATATATATATATATATAGTATATATATATGTATATATATATGTATACACGTTTGTATGGATATGTATATGGATATATGTTAGTTGATGCAACTTGTTATGTATACGTACATCATAATACACGAAATTATTTTCTATCATATTTTGTTTCTTATACTGAATATATGTTTCAAAAATAGAAGGATTTCGTTTGTTTTTGTTTTTTTTTTCTTGCATATACTTACGTACAAGTGTGTATATATAAATATATATATATGTAGGTCAGTAACAGACAGTTATTTCAAACGCTAAGAAGTTACTACAATACTCAGTCTCTTTAAAAATGTTGACCAGAAGAAGAGGGAGACAGACATTGATACGGAAACGGTGTTGATATAATATAAAACAATTTCTTTATATCGACTTTCTTACTTCTTGCTATATATATATATATATATATAGATATATATTTATAGATATATATTTGTAGGCATTCAGGAGGAAGTTAAAAGAATTGCTACAACATTTTTCATAAAGTTAAGGGCATAGAATTTTGCACATATATAGAGTTTAGTAAAAGTTTGCGAAGCATAAAGAGAGAGAAAAAATTAAAAAAAAAAAAAAAAAAAAACAATAAAAAGTAAAAGAAAGAGAGCAGCGTGTTACGTGAAAAGGGAAACAAACGAAAGAGAGAAGAGAGAGAGTATGAAAATCAAGCTTAATTCCTACTCTCTTTAC